ACACCTCTGCGATGCCATCGCTCAAACACACACACACCTCTGCGATGCTGTCTCTCAAACACACACTCCTGTGTGTGTTTGAGAGATGGCCCGAGGGAGCCGGAGACGCAGAGACTGAGGCCTGCTCGTGTTCGGACGGCCCGTGGGAGCCGGAGACACAGAGACTGAGGCCTGCTCGTGTTCGGACGGCCCGTGGGAGCCGGAGACGCAGAGACTGAGGCCTGATCGTGTTCGGACGGCCCGTGGGAGCCGGAGACGCAGAGACTGAGGCCTGCTCGTGTTCGGACGGCCCGTGGGAGCCGGAGACGCAGAGACTGAGGCCTGATCGTGTTCGGACGGCCCGTGGGAGCCGGAGACGCAGAGACTGAGGCCTGCTCGTGTTCGGACGGCCCGTGGGAGCCGGAGACGCAGAGACTGAGGCCTGATCGTGTTCGGACGGCCCGAGGGAGCCGGAGACGCAGAGACTGAGGCCTGCTCGTGTTCGGACGGCCCGAGGGAGCCGGAGACGCAGAGACTGAGGCCTGATCGTGTTCGGACGGCCCGTGGGAGCCGGAGACGCAGAGAATGAGGCCTGCTCGTGTTCGGACGGCCCGTGGGAGCCGGAGACGCAGAGACTGAGGCCTGATCGTGTTCGGACGGCCCGAGGGAGCCGGAGACGCAGAGACTGAGGCCTGCTCGTGTTCGGACGGCCCGTGGGAGCCGGAGACACAGAGACTGAGGCCTGATCGTGTTCGGACGGCCCGTGGGAGCCGGAGACGCAGAGACTGAGGCCTGATCGTGTTCTGACGGCCCGAGGGAGCCGGAGACGCAGAGACTGAGGCCTGCTCGTGTTCGGACGGCCCGAGGGAGCCGGAGACGCAGAGACTGAGGCCTGCTCGTGTTCGGACGGCCCGAGGGAGCCGGAGACGCAGAGACTGAGGCCTGCTCGTGTTCGGACGGCCCGTGGGAGCCGGAGACACAGAGACTGAGGCCTGATCGTGTTCGGACGGCCCGTGGGAGCCGGAGACGCAGAGACTGAGGCCTGATCGTGTTCTGACGGCCCGAGGGAGCCGGAGACGCAGAGACTGAGGCCTGCTCGTGTTCGGACGGCCTGTGGGAGCCGGAGACACAGAGACTGAGGCCTGATCGTGTTCGGACGGCCCGAGGGAGCCGGAGACGCAGAGACTGAGGCCTGATCGTGTTCGGACGGCCCGAGGGAGCCGGAGACGCAGAGACTGAGGCCTGCTCGTGTTCGGACGGCCCGTGGGAGCCGGAGACACAGAGACTGAGGCCTGCTCGTGTTCGGACGGCCCGAGGGAGCCGGAGACGCAGAGACTGAGGCCTGCTCGTGTTCGGACGGCCTGTGGGAGCCGGAGACACAGAGACTGAGGCCTGCTCGTGTTCGGACGGCCCGTGGGAGCCGGAGACACAGAGACTGAGGCCTGCTCGTGTTCGGACGGCCTGTGGGAGCCGGAGACGCAGAGACTGAGGCCTGCTCGTGTTCGGACGGCCTGTGGGAGCCGGAGACGCAGAGACTGAGGCCTGATCGTGTTCGGACGGCCCGTGGGAGCCGGAGACGCAGAGACTGAGGCCTGCTCGTGTTCGGACGGCCCGAGGGAGCCGGAGACACAGAGACTGAGGCCTGCTCGTGTTCGGACGGCCCGTGGGAGCCGGAGACACAGAGACTGAGGCCTGCTCGTGTTCGGACGGCCCGTGGGAGCCGGAGACACAGAGACTGAGGCCTGATCGTGTTCTGACGGCCCGTGGGAGCCGGAGACGCAGAGACTGAGGCCTGCTCGTGTTCGGACGGCCCGTGGGAGCCGGAGACACAGAGACTGAGGCCTGATCGTGTTCGGACGGCCCGTGGGAGCCGGAGACGCAGAGACTGAGGCCTGATCGTGTTCGGACGGCCCGTGGGAGCCGGAGACACAGAGACTGAGGCCTGCTCGTGTTCGGGCGGCCTGTGGGAGCCGGAGACGCAGAGACTGAGGCCTGCTCGTGTTCGGACGGCCCGTGGGAGCCGGAGACACAGAGACTGAGGCCTGCTCGTGTTCGGACGGCCTGTGGGAGCCGGAGACGCAGAGACTGAGGCCTGATCGTGTTCGGACGGCCCGAGGGAGCCGGAGACGCAGAGACTGAGGCCTGCTCGTGTTCGGACGGCCCGAGGGAGCCGGAGACGCAGAGACTGAGGCCTGCTCGTGTTCGGACGGCCCGTGGGAGCCGGAGACGCAGAGACTGAGGCCTGCTCGTGTTCGGACGGCCCGAGGGAGCCGGAGACGCAGCGACTGAGGCCTGATCGTGTTCGGACGGCCCGAGGGAGCCGGAGACGCAGAGACTGAGGCCTGCTCGTGTTCGGACGGCCTGTGGGAGCCGGAGACACAGAGACTGAGGCCTGCTCGTGTTCGGACGGCCCGTGGGAGCCGGAGACACAGAGACTGAGGCCTGCTCGTGTTCGGACGGCCTGTGGGAGCCGGAGACGCAGAGACTGAGGCCTGCTCGTGTTCGGACGGCCTGTGGGAGCCGGCGACGCAGAGACTGAGGCCTGATCGTGTTCGGACGGCCCGTGGGAGCCGGAGACGCAGAGACTGAGGCCTGCTCGTGTTCGGACGGCCTGTGGGAGCCGGCGACGCAGAGACTGAGGCCTGCTCGTGTTCGGACGGCCCGTGGGAGCCGGAGACACAGAGACTGAGGCCTGATCGTGTTCGGACGGCCCGTGGGAGCCGGAGACGCAGAGACTGAGGCCTGATCGTGTTCGGACGGCCCGTGGGAGCCAGAGACACAGAGACTGAGGCCTGCTCGTGTTCGGGCGGCCTGTGGGAGCCGGAGACGCAGAGACTGAGGCCTGATCGTGTTCTGACGGCCCGTGGGAGCCGGAGACGCAGAGACTGAGGCCTGCTCGTGTTCGGACGGCCTGTGGGAGCCGGAGACGCAGAGACTGAGGCCTGATCGTGTTCGGACGGCCCGAGGGAGCCGGAGACGCAGAGACTGAGGCCTGCTCGTGTTCGGACGGCCCAAGGGAGCCGGAGACGCAGAGACTGAGGCCTGCTCGTGTTCGGACGGCCTGTGGGAGCCGGAGACACAGAGACTGAGGCCTGCTCGTGTTCGGACGGCCCGTGGGAGCCGGAGACACAGAGACTGAGGCCTGCTCGTGTTCGGACGGCCTGTGGGAGCCGGAGACGCAGAGACTGAGGCCTGATCGTGTTCGGACGGCCCGAGGGAGCCGGAGACGCAGAGACTGAGGCCTGCTCGTGTTCGGACGGCCCGAGGGAGCCGGAGACGCAGAGACTGAGGCCTGCTCGTGTTCGGACGGCCCGTGGGAGCCGGAGACGCAGAGACTGAGGCCTGATCGTGTTCGGACGGCCCGTGGGAGCCGGAGACGCAGAGACTGAGGCCTGCTCGTGTTCGGACGGCCTGTGGGAGCCGGAGACGCAGAGACTGAGGCCTGATCGTGTTCGGACGGCCTGTGGGAGCCGGAGACGCAGAGACTGAGGCCTGATCGTGTTCGGACGGCCCGTGGGAGCCGGAGACGCAGAGACTGAGGCCGGAGGAAAGGCTGCTTGTTTTCCAGAGGAGAATCCAACACTAGAGATAAGATAATGGATCCGGACTAATCGCACAGCGCTGGCTGAGGAGATCTGAGTGTTACACACTCCCACACATCACATGTAGATCATCATAAAATACTGCTTTCTGATGACAATTAACAACACATTTTAATTTGAGTTTGTTCTTCCTCAGAGTTTCTGTCTTGTTTTCTAGTACAAATATCTAAATGTTGTAAAATCAAGATACATTTACTGGGGAAGCAAAATTACCTAAACCGCCTCTATGATGCTATTTTAAACGTTCCTAATGTTGTTTTAGCGTCTCCTCTAACAGGTTTACATCATTCCAGCTCAGAAACACTGATTTCCTCATAATCTCCACTGCAGCTTCAGCTCTTTCCTCTCAGTGTCTGAAACGCTTCGGTCGAAGACTCAGTCTCTCTAAGCCCCGCCTCTCTGAGAGCTGCTCTGCTCTGATTGGTCAGAACGCTCATTATCATATCTGAATCTCAGCTCTTGATCACAGTGATACGAACAGTTACGACGGCGTGGGTTTCACCGTCTCAATCTCAGAAAACAGCGTCTTCTCGACACGAACAACACGAGCCGAACTCTCCCAGTCTCAGATACACTACAGTGTTTGAGGGCGGAGCTAAGAGACGCTGCTCAGCCAATCAAGACCACAGGCGGGCATTATTATGCTAATGAGTTACAAACCTATGTGTGTGTGTGTGTGTGTATATGAGAGAGAGTGTGTGTGTTTGTGTGTGTATGAGAGTGTGTGTATATGAGAGATTGTGTGTATGCGTGTGTATGAGAGTTTGTGTGTGTGTGTGTGTGTGTGTATGAGTGAGTGTGTGTGTGTGTGTGTGTGTGTGTGTATGACAGTGTGTGTATGAGAGAATGTGTGTGCGTGAGTGTGTGTGTGTGAGTGTGTGTGTGTGTGTGTGTGTGTGTGTATGTGTGAGTGTGTGTGTATGAGAGAATGTGTGTGCGTGAGTGTGTTTGCGTGTGTGTGTGTGTGTGTGTGTGTGTGTATGTGTGAGTGTGTGTGTGTGTGTGTATGTGTGAGTGTGTGTGTGTGTGTGTGTATGACAGTGTGTGTATGAGAGAATGTGTGTGCGTGAGTTTGTGAGTGTGTTTGAGTGTATGTGTATGAGAGAATGTGCGTATGAGTTTGTGTTGCGTGTTTTTGAGTATGTGTGTGTGAGTGTATGAGAGAATGTGTGTGCGTGAGTGTGTTTGCGTGAGTGAGTGTGTGTGAGAGAATGTGTGTGCATGAGTGTGTGTGTGTGAGTGTGAGTGTGTGTGTGTGTGTGTGTGAGAGTGAGCGTGAGTGTGTGTGTGTGTGAGCGTGAGTGTGTGTGTGTGTGTGTGTGTGTGAGTGAGCGTGAGTGTGTGAGTGAGTGTGTGTGTGTGAGTGTGTGTGTGAGTGAGCGTGAGTGTGAGAGTGAGTGTGTGTGTGTGTGTGCTCACAGTAGGAGTGTCTCAGTCTCCTCTGCTTTAAGATCCTCCCAGCTCTCGTCTCGACTCAGTTTCTCTCTCATGGATCAGAGAGTCAGTTCAGCGCGAGCCGGAGCTCAGCAGACGCGCATCATGTGTGTGTGAGAGCTGAGAGTGTGTGTGAGAGCTGAGAGTGTGTGTGAGAGCTGAGTGAACGCTTGATGCTCTGACACTGGAAGCACGATGACTCTTCTGGGCTCTGAACACTCCGTTCTGATTCGCAGCAAGTTTAAATCAGGTGAGATTGTTCATTTATAGAGTCATTTATTAACAATATGAAAATATGTCAAAGAGTGTGAGGTCTCCTTGAAAACTTTACTGGAATATGAAGCCAAATATTTAGGCTTTTACAGCTATTTTTGTAATGAACCAAACTTACTTTGTACCTCTTGGTTGTTGTAAACGCTTGTAAAGCCTGAAGTGCTTCGATACAGGAGTTCAACATGACTAATGTGTGAAAAACTGATTTTCTTAATCTTGTTTTCCAGTACAAATCTAAACATTCCTTAACCAAGATAAATTAACTGGAGAAGGGGAACAACTTAAGTAAAAAAAAAAAAATAAAATAGTTTGTGCTTAAAACAAGAAAAATGTGTAAGAAATTTGGTTTTGTTTTTACTTTGAATGAAGTTTATTTTTCTGACCCCACTGGAATATTTTTGTTGTGTGTGTGTTTGTTTTAAGCATAAACTCACTTAAATTTGATAATGTTTCCATAAAAAGTCATTACATGTAAACTCAAGTAAATGTATCTTGATTTAAAGAATGTTTCTACTGGAAAACAAGTCAAAAGTTTTTTTTTGCAGTTATAAACGAATACAATTTTACTGGCTTCTCACCTGCTTTGTTTACTAGTATTGAGAATTACTTTTCCTCTCTGTGATCTATTGACATCAGTGAAGGCTTTCAGTGTAACAGTGAACAATACTGCCACCTTTCTGATGAACACGTTACTGAATAACTCGAGGTCAGGATCTGTGAAGATTCTCTCTGTCATTTAATGCTCGAGGTTCACGGCGTTTGGAGACTCGCGCGTTCCTCGGCTCGGCACTAATGGCCTTTACCGCTGGAATTACAGGCGAAATTGAGCTCTTCCTTCACGAGGGGAAATGAGCCCAAGCTCAGGGGAAGTGGAGACGCGACGCACAGGGGCATGATGGGATACGAGTGTGTGTGTGTGTGTGTGTGTGTGTGTGTGTGTGTGTGTGTGTGTGAGAGAGAGCGGCACACACTCAGATGCTTGTTCTGTGTTCTGTGTCGTGTGTGTGTGTGATTGAGCTGTTCTGATAGGCTGTGTTCCCGGTGGACGTGTTCGGCTCGTGTACAGATTACATAAGCGTTTGGACAATTTAAAATGTCACATCTGAGGTCAAACTCTTAAACGCTGTCATTCAGCTTCTAAAGTGGATTACAGACGTGTAACCTGTGTAAGCTCACGGCCAGAGTGTGTTCTGGAGAGATGATCAATGTTTTGAATATGATTAGCATACACAGATTGAAGAACTTGCTCTATATAGTGTGTGTGTGTGTGTGTGTGTGTGTGTGTGTGTGTGTGTGTGTGTGTGTGTGTGTGTGTGTGTGTGTTTAGTTCATGCTGCCTTCTCAGGGTGTTTAGGCAAAAGCAGTTTTAGTAAACTCTTTTTATTATCTTTCCAGAGAGTTTCTATATGTGCCCACGAGACACTAAAACTGTCATATTTAAATACTTTTTATGTGAACATATAGATGTAAGGGTTAATTGGGGAATGTAGGGTAATGTACATGAGTAAAATAAATGTAAACAGTTTATTTTTGTTAAGTGCTTTGATACAGGGGTCAAAGATCAAGATCATTAGGTATAATTTTTAAGTTTTTGACTTTATACTTTTTAATATACTTTATAAATCACTAAAGATAAAAAATATTAAGCTATGTTTTCTGAAAAAAGTATCAAAGTTAAATTAGTTCATGCTTAATACAAGAAAAATGGCAAAGAAATTTGATCTTGTTTTCCTTTTGAATTGAGTTTATTAGTCTGACTCCATTGGCAGGTTACTTTTTAAAATGGCAAACTACGTAGAATTGCAGTGCATTTGTATGAAAAAATGCAAATAATAATAAATAAATCAAGGCACACTATAAAAAAAATATTTTACAAAAAATACTACTTTAGTGTTTTTACTACAAAATTTCAGATTGAATCAGATGTGAACCGTTTCCATTGTTTGTGAAATTTTGCGATTTCTAAGTGAAAGCTGTTCCAGCGCTGGATTACTGGATTAAATGCCTCATGTCTGAGCGATGACTTTGATAAATAGTTTGTCATGCAATTGGCAAAAGAAACAGAAGATGACAGACAGTTAAAGAGCAGCTTCTGAATCCTGAAGATCTGTGTGTGTGTGTGTGCGTGTGTGTGGAGAAGAGTGAAGTTTAAACATCTTTGCAGTGATAGAATGTTAGCGACGATCCCGCCGCCATCGACATTTAGATGAATATATAAATATGTGATAAAGAATTATCGGTTATCATATCGGCCAATATTTTCATTTTTTTCTATTAAAAATTTTACAAAATAATTTTTTGGACACTTAAATTGCTTTAAAAAAAAAGTTCAAATTTGAAGTAGATATCAACTAAATTTGGGCAGCTAAAATGTTTTAAATGGCCTTTGTCATGGTAGCGCAGCGGCCGATGTCGAAACAGTTTTCACAGCAGGAGTTTTGTGTTTAACTTTCCATTGACACCGAATTTGTTGATTCTGAAATATGTGATTGGGAACAAAGGCAATATTTGTTTTGTTTTTTTATATCGTTGAAGCAGGTTTCCCTGATGCCCTGAGCACACACGAGTGTGTGTGTGTGTGTATGAGTGTGTGTGTGTCACGGATGCCTGTGTCGTGTCAAGATTACAGTCTGCTATTTACAGACAGAGCAGTTAACATGACATCTCTGTTTAATAGAGTTACACCAGGACAAATGTGTGCGCTGAGTTAGGAAAATATGCTCTAAAAATGTTTTGCTAACATTCCCATTAAGTTATGAAATCGTTATTTCTGAACGCTCAAAACATCCAGTTTTGTTTGTTTTATAGTTTATTCTTGGTTATAGAGAACATTCCACTGTATCATTCGTCAAACATTATGAGAACGCTACTTTTGAATGTTCTCTGAACGTTCTGAAACAAGTAACATTTAAAAAACATTAAATCCAACTAAGAATTTTTTTAAACGCTCCATAAATGATGTATAAATAATGTTTCTGTGCTGATGTTTTGAGAACATTATTAAAAACCAGATAACTTTTTAAGAATGTTCTATTTAGGTGCACCGATATGAACTTTTCGCCGATACCGATAATTCTTCATATTTGAAAGCCGATAACCGATATATTGGCCGATAAATCTAAATCCAAATCCAAATTTGTATATAATTTTTGAGAGCCTGATTACAAAAACAAAAGCCTCATCATGTCCCAAACACACAATTATAATGATGTTCTCATGATAATGTTATGTAGCCGATATGACAGTCTTGCACACTTTAACTCTATTTTCCTTTTCTGAGTGATTCCAATCATATTTCAAGCAATTCATAACCATCATGTTTAACAGTGTGCATCTGAAGCGTCTCAGCTGAAGGAAATATTATATTATTTATCAGCTTTAATATATCGGCCAAATGTTCTCATCAGGGCGACACCGATAACATTAAAAATGACCATATATCGGCCGATACCGGTATGGTGACCGATATATCGCGCATCGCTAGTTCTATTAATGTTACTAGAAGAACGTTTGTTTATAACTTTGAGAGAAACTTGCCAGAACGATCCGTTCGCTGGGGTTTGCGCTAGTGTGGATATTCTAACGTAGCATGTGTTGTGCAATTGCCTAATTAATACGTAATTGCTCTCATTTGGACAAATTACACAGGGTACACGTTGTTTTTGCAGGTATGTGCCTTGAAGACAAGTGTACGGCTATTTTCATGCTGTTGAGTCACTCATCTGGTTTTGATATTCGAGGGTTTGTGATGCCGTTTGTCTGTAAAGCTGTGATAATTCTTATTGAGGGCAATCACTGAGGGCAATCATGCTCTCTCTTGCCCTGCGAGAGCGCTCTCTGATGCCAGCTTGATGAACTCAGCTGTTCCTGAGATGTGGAGATCATAAGAGCGGACGCTATATCCAGCGCAGCATTAGAGTTTGATCTCGATTGCTCCAGATTGAGTTGTGTTGCGTCTGCCAGAAACACACTGGCACTGATGGTCTCGGTGTGTGTCGGTGTTCATGCGAGAGAGCCAGTGTTGTTTGTGCGTGAGAGCTTGTTCCAGTGTGCCAGAGCTCAACATCATTAGATTTCTCTTGTTTGTCCACATACTTGCAGTCCATGACAGTTGCTGGCAGCCGACACAGAAGTACAGGTTGTGTGACCTAAACTAAAGCAGATGTACAGATCGCTGAAGCATGATCTCAGAGGTACACACACACACACACACACCATCAGTCAGTCGGGATTCTTGTGTGTCGACGGCACAATTATGATTGCGATGATAAATGGACAAACGAATGGATGAAGGAATGAACATTGACAACTGTTGCATGTCCACACAACCAAAGCTTATGTTTCGGGAATGTATTTCAGCAATATCACACGAGCAAGAATGATATCTTCTGAATATCAACACAGCTGTGATTGCGAGTGTAATATTGCTTTTATAACATTTCAATAAACAAAGAGTAACTTACATTTTTACACACAGTATTGCCATTTACTTTGTCTATTTTTGCTCCGCCAATGAAAATAGTTCCATATGAGGCGAAAACAGAATCAGCGTGTTTTCCTAGTAAAACATTCATTAGTGGGGTTTCCTTCCTGACTGAATCAGGGATTTGAACAGATCAATTGAGTGAATGATTCAATGACTCACTCTTAAAGGCATTTGCTGGTTTAGTCCCTGACTGAATCAGTGTTTTGAACTAATTGCTTGAGTAAAT